ACTCTGCGAGCCGCTATTACAGAAATAACGCATAATGCTGTTTGCGGGAATCAAACGGTAATTATGGAAAACGTTGTGTTGTTTTTTTTTTTCGCAAAAAGTCGGACGTTAACTTTAATACGTATCGTTTTATCGGGATCTAATTAATACTGCATTTGATATTTTTCGACGATTTGCTCCCGTCGGTTAATGAAGCGGAAAATTTAAATTGCGCGTTCTTTTGACGAAAGAGAGAGAGGGCTGCCATTTGATATCGTCATAACATAAAATGATATGTACAGAAACGGAGAGGAATCGCGGCGCGTAATTGCATTAGCGTCGGTATATTATTGTACGGGCAAATACGGCGTTTATTCGACGGGCGAAAATCGAAACGATCGCGGCGCATCCGGACAAATAAAATATTGCTCCGTGCGCGCGCGCTCGTTGCCGACCTGACATCGGCTCGATTCTGTACGGATCGCTGCGGAGCACGCACAATGGCAAAAACGGCACGTGCGGCCTCAAGACTTCCGATCAATTAACTCCACTTTCAATTCGCGGCACGGTTAGGGACGCGCCGTGCTCTTACAGTTGTTAGCCGTGTAACCATCTCACCATTTCTCCTGCCCCTGCCGCGCCGCTGCGCCACCCTCTTAGCGCCCCTGTCGAAAAGAGAGGATCGAAGCATATTGACGGCCGATGGCGTTCGACCGTGGCACGATACATGGCTACAAGGGTGCTCGAGGGACGCGAGAGTAAATATTAAAGCGCGTCGCGCGGAGTCATCGGGACGGTAATGATTGTCGCCGGAGTAGACGTGCGTTCTTATATCCGAGCGGATTCGACAGTCATGGGAAACACTTCGGAACGTGTCCGAAAGACGAGGACCGTCTCGCTCGTGCACGAATGAGAGGAAAATAACACTGGGCCCTCCCCTTCGAGTTATGTCAAGATTAGAAACGATAAAAAGATATCGTGTATTTGCCCCTATTCGATATCGAATACCGCAGGTATTCGATACTTCTCGATGTATATTCAAATAATAGTGAGCGTAAAGATACTCTCTCGTTGTTATCGTAGGCAGCGTGGCAGGCGGTCAAAATTTCCAAATGATTCGATCATGTCGAAGAAATAACACGAGAACGTTCATTGGCATCGGAGATTCTCGAAAGGCTTGGAAAGATTCCGGAGACTCGAAAGTTTCGAGAGCTAGAAAATCCGAGTGAAACACCTCGTAAGTATCGCTACTCAAACGTCGCGAGCATGTTAAAATCTGACTCTGCATGGTAAAAGTGAGTCATTGTGGCTTGTAAGTGGCATCGTAGCAAAGTCAATTAACGGCAACTATCGTAAATTATAGAAGGATACAAGTACGACGAGGTAATGGACCGGCTCTCTGCCTCGCGTATGCATTTACATGATTGAATATTCATGGAAAATGCATAGAAGTGGCCGGCCGAGTCGTCCTTGCCTGTGTTTACACAGAAGCGATCCTAACTCTGTCGAAGCATAATATCAAGCGCGGTGCAAGAACCCGTTCAAGTATCATTCTTCGCCGTGCGCTCGGCGCGACGTGCAGGTAGCAATTTCATTTTGCCGTTTCCATATACTTACGGCATTCGCTTACAACTATCGAAGAAGTAATAATCAAAAAACCGTGTTTTGTTTTTCTAACGTTCTGTCGCGACTAAAGTCGATTGGAGAAAGAGATCGAAGAAATTTTCAGCGACGAACATTTCTTCCAAATAAAAATTTAAACAATCAAAATCACAATACGTTAAACAACGAGGTGTCCGCGAAGAAAGGGGACCGCCTCGGCGTGAAATGAAAGTCGTAAATTATGTAGATTTTGTCGCAGGCGAAAAGTTTTTATATTTTTCGAGGAAAGAGATGAAAATCACATCTCACTATTTCAAGCTTTTTCTTCCCATGCCGTGCGTTCCTCCTCGTCATTATCAAACGAATGACTAACTGCCGTTTATAATGCGAGCGTATGATGCGTGCGGAGATACGCAGGTAGACACGCGTGCGGCGGCTGCGTTATACGCGTCCCGAGAGCGGCGGCCTTAATAACAGCATGCGTTTCACACTGTGCCGGCCGAGTAAACTTTACAAAATATCACACCGAGGGGGCCCAAGCGCGGCCATTCTCTCCGCGAGACGCGCCCGGCAAATGAATCAGAAAATAGCGGCGGGAGCTTCCCACACGTGTCGGGTCACGTGTTAGATAATTAGATATTCTTTAGGCCGTGCGTTAGGTCGCGCATGGTGTTCCATTAGATCGGAGTTTTCGACTCCTCGATCGGGTCGTTCATCCCCTCGCGGGTTTTCTCAAACGCGCGCCGTTTCCTTACGCCGATGGATTTAATGGTCGAATGGCGTGCCGGGCAGGATCGAGATATATCGTTTGACTCATCGGCTCTCGACGGAAGTCGTATCACGCCCCACGAGGCGTCTCTCGCCAAGGAAATGGCAGGAAATTAATTAATTTGCAGCGACATGTACGGTTTATCCGTTTTACATTTAGCGAAAAATACATAACATTGATGAGCATAGAATATTATTTCCAGGTGAAACAACAAACAGCTCTGAAGCTAAAAGTATTGCACAAGAAAATAACTGCCGGTCACACGAAATTGTGTTTGTCGTATTATCGCAATCCCGAAATAATACTCGCGCGTTTGCGTCGTACAAAATCGCCCACTAACGCGATATCGCGATTATTCGCCGATGGAAAAGTTACCTCGGCTAATGAAAACTCGACAGGCGTCATACACGATTAACGCTTTACGCGTTGATCACCAAATGCGGGATGCCGGGAGAATATTATGATGTAACCTGATTTAACCTGAAATAACTGTTGACCGTGTGAACGGGGTGGAGATATATATATATATATATAGGTATATATGTATTACCGCGAGTACTTCGTCCATCAGAAATTCATATCGGCCAATGAAAGTACAACGGGCCGCGAAATAGGCGAAACACGTGTACGTATATGTACACGCGCGCGATGCGCCATCGTGTAAATCGTCGAGCGGCGATGGATACGTTTGACACTAGCGCGGATCGCGCCGTTAAGCGGTATGATTCGGATTAAACAAGCCCGATGGGTGGAGTAAATTTCGACTGAGCGGTGTAAAATGGCATTTTGTAACGGCGCGAGCGTTGCGGTCCGGCCACGACTTGGGGATTAATGCATCCTGGGCTTTACATTTCATTGGGCTCGCGGGTTCGACTCCCGTTTCGCGTTTATACGCACATAAATGGAGGCGTTAAACCGACTGCCTGACAACTCTGATAATTGCCTCGCGCGTAAAACCCGTTACGAGCCTTGTTTGTCAGTTTCGCTAACGTATATTACCGCGTTGCCGTACCCCCTGCGCCCCCTCCTGCCCTGCCCTCCTATCCGCTCCCGTAGCGCTTCTCGCGTTACAACACGTTTCTGCTCGACTTTATTGACTCTGGAGATGAGATCGAGGTTTCTTGCGCCGATTTCCGTTCCATCGATTCTCTCAGTAAGGACTAACGAGATGCGCGCGATGAAGTAGCGGCCATTACGACCACCTTGCTCGCATTCCTCGAGACAGTATACGTACTTGAGGAAAAAAAATTAACGTAATATCATTACAGGAAATTAATTTGTTTTTAAAACGTGCCAGCAGCATCAGCATCCTGTCATTTGGACGCGGAACTACGCTATCTATTACCATTATCGCTCTCGTATTCGCGAGCAGATTCTGCTTTATGAAACGTTTACCGCGGAGAAAATTGCACGACGAGAACGTGGTAAATGTCTTATTTAATTCGACGAGCTTCAATTTCAGGAATAATCGGTTGCACGATTTAATCGCGGATGAGCGCCCTCCGCGCGACAGTCATCGGTATTGTGCTGCAGGAATCCATTTTCCAGCCGCGCAATTCCATTGAATAAAGACGGCGGCGTTAATTTATCGGCGCGACATTTGCACAGTTCGATTATTCCGCGCGTTGTAAAGGCCAATTACAACGTAATCTCTCTGTCCGCTTGTACGCGCCGCGTTGTAACGCGCCGTAAACCGGTGACCGCGCCGGTCAAACGCAACCGGCGCGTAATACAGCAATAAATACAATAATTACCGATGTATTGCGGTGCCGTGACGCAATGCAAATTACGCGCTTTCGTGTCGCGTTTAGACGGACGCGCGCGGCCGCTGTCCCACACTTACGAGAAATTAATGTAAACACGCGCGCGCGGCAGTTACGTGTGTACGTGTACGCGTCCGTCTATTACCGCTGTCGGACGCACGCGGTGCTCGTCGACTCCTACGCAAACAGTATTGTTTGGATACGATTACGAGAAGAAATCGAGACCGTTCCGTGGAATAACAAACGCACCGCAAGATTACGCGCGCGCGCGCGCACGCGGACGGTATTACGTCGGCACGTGGCGTAATCTGTCGAGATGATCGACTACCGAAATAAGCCAAAATGTACTCGTCGCGCGCGTCGCTTTACGAATGGACTCTGATCAAATAACGCGTGTTGCGATTCCGCCAGAAATAAAAACAACGAATCCAATTCTAAAGAGGATAATGTACGCGGGGGGAACTTTCTTTTAAAATTTACCCTGAAAATTATGTAGTCGTGGGACAACATGACATTTTGAAAAACTTTATAAAATCTCCGTCTGCAGACAACCCTCCGATACCCAACTAACAATAAGTATCAGACTGTCGAGATGCTTTGCTGTGAAATCACGGTGGATTACGCTTACATAAATTTTCAGCTCTTCTTTCTATTATGCATAATCTGCGTATATCTTAATTGGCGTCCTGTGATTTTTCTATATTTTAATTCCAATTAACTTTATTTGCAACAACCGTCATCACCGTTCAAATAAGACACAACCTTGCGAAAGAGATCAGTCGATATACGCGTCGACGAAAGCGCAGCGGAAGCAAAATGAAGTAGTTACATAAGCGAATGTAAATTGATTTATTACGCGCTCTTATTTATTTTACTCATGCACTTACCCTATCATAATGCCCGGGGAAGGGTTGAAAAGCGCCGTGATGTTAAGTGAAAGTGGGAACGAGGGATGGTTTTCGGCTAACCGCGCCATCGGCTCTCACCCCTTTCAGCGAACTTCCACCCACCAAGTGATTAAAAACAATTACCGTTTCATCGGACCCTTCTAACCTGCGTAATGAGCATCCTGTTGCTGGAACAAAGAAAAGAAATTGTGACAAAATCTCGAGAGTCTAACCAATTTACCGAGCATCCAATCTCTCGCGCTCTGATGGCATAGCAAGATAAATTAGTTGTAAATTAAAAACGTATATTTTAATGCACTCTGCGGTCGATGTACCCTTGTTCGCGTTTCTACGAAAACATTTCTCGTAGATACGATATTCCATCATGCGGAGGATAATCCAACTTCCGCAGTGAGAGAGACTGAATACTTGCGCAAACAAGGGTGGCTCTCGTGTTAAATCACGAGGTAACTTGGAGAGCCAGCGAGCTAGCTCTCGCCCGTACATCGTCGAATCAGAAACTACCGCGTGCCCCCCCGAGAACATTGAACTGAATGGATTCCCGCGGAGTTTGGAAATGCCGGGGCTAATTAACAATTACGACGGGGGAGGCCACGGCGGCTATTCATAATCATAATCGACGGGCCATGGAGACTCCATGGAGTCTATTGTTGGCAGCTTCCGCGGCGTCGCTTCCGACAAAAGACTATGCCGTGTCTGTGGTTATCCACAGCGAGTGATGCGCCTTGTCCCAGTCTTTGTTGATATTGCCTTCTGTCTGGGATATCGCGACGGGTTATATTCACGTAATTTAATACACGGAGATATACTTCGACATCTGCCACCCCTATAAAGCAGCACTTTGATATCGCCGAAGGCGTGAAAAAAAAAGAGAAATCGCAGGAACGTCAAAGTTTTTGTAATTCGAACGAAAGCCGCGAGTCTGGGGAGTAAAAAGAATTTTTTCATTTGTTAATATTACGTTTTGAAGAACGTTATTGTTATTACGACAAAGTAATTTTGGGCGAACGCATTTACCACCGCTGGAAAATATCCTCGCTAGGGACTTTAATGGATTTTATTCAATTTTGAGAGAGCGGTTGCGCATGCAAAATATGACGCGGCGCGTTTATACAGAATCGACCGGCGAGTGATACGCGAATAGAGAGCAATCACCCTGGCATATTGATAGTCTCTCAGGGATGCATGGAGTTTCGCGATGGATGCTCAGTGTTTACAGGGAAAAATTCGATGTTTTCCATTAAAGGAGGGTGCACGCAAAATGCGGTCCATTCGCGTTTCACGCTACAGTTTCCTCTTTTCATGTTAAACGCATCAGAGCGTTTCACGTGTAACGTAAGAGCCGCTCGTTAAACATGATGATAACGGAAAAAGAAAGGAAAGAAAACGGCGAAATTGATGAAGTGGCCGCTTTTTTGTTAACGCAGCGCGTATCAATTTTACATCGCGAAAATCAATAATGCATATACACGGTAAAATGAAGTGCCTTGAAAAAATACTTGAAAAAAAAACTTTGCCCTCTTTCTCTCAGGCGTTGCAAACATTAGAGCTTAATCCATTTTCCCCGAGTTTAACACGACTTCTTCTCCGTCTAATGAGAAAACGACGCAATATTCGAAAAGTTGGAGGAAACCGAGCAACCGGCTGCTACGCTGCGGCCGGTTTCTTTTCAATCTCCACCGGAGCGATTCCACGGTTTAATCAATCGCACTTGGCGCAATTAAATTTCTTTAACGAGGTCGGAGCAGTTCTGGGAAATTAACGAAGCCGAGCACTGGTCGCATAGATTAAAATCGAGTTGCTCTGTGCGAAAGGAACTCTGTATATTCTCTCCTCCCCTTCGCCCCGTGACCACCCTCTCGTTCACTTTCTCATCGTTCTTCGTGTCTCCCGCTTCTTCGTTAAAACCACCCCCTTATCCCGCTGTCTCATCGGTCCGCACCGAATTTCCGAGCCGCCACCGCAACCCCTTGGCAATATCGTAAGTAATTAAACAATTTGCCTACAGATGGAGTTTTTAGTCGAAGCATTTCACACTTACTGTCACTCGGCCCGACCCACCCTGCAGTACACTCTCATCACTATGCATAACCGCATTGCTCCTATATTAGAGCGTCCGGGCATCGCGCCGCTAAAATGCTCGCGTGATTAAAAATGCTGTCGCGGAAATTCCGACATCAGCAGAATGTCAGACACGACTGCCCCCTCGGGGGTGGAGCGGCCGAGACCCTTTACAACGTTCTCGCACGTCGACAACCTGTCGCGCGCGTTCGCACGCATCCAGAAAGCTCCGGTAATTAATCGCGGAAAGCGAAGAGTGGAGTGGAAGAGGAACGGAGAGAATGAAGGAAAAGGGGAACGAGTAAAGGGACTTGAATGGCGAACGCACCCTGCTTCGAATTCGACAATTTTGTTCTTTTATCGGTAAGCTGTAAGTAAACCGCTACGTGATTAGCGCGACCACGCGAAGGGGCGGGTGTTCCTTGAAACAAAAGTCGAGAGCAACGCAACGTGTCATCGTATGTCGTCTCATTTTAGGACGGAAATAAATACCTACTCGCGACGAATATATAATGCCGTACGTACCCAGTGTTTTGTCGTACTTGTCCCGAAATGACAGCCTGCTGGTTCACAAGCGGACTGCTCTCCCCCGCGCTATTAATTTTATTACCCCGTGTTTACACCCTGTTTCCGCAAAAATTGATGTTTATCTCTATTCGGCGCTACAAGGTGCGGAAACGCGCGTACGACGAAGTCCATTATCCACCTGGCGGTGTTCCACCAGTTAAAACTCTTCATGCATTGCCATCCCCGCGCGATGGAGAGAAACAACCGGTAGATTAGGCGGAAGGGAATCTTGCGACGAAACGTCACCCTCGTCGTCGCGAGCGTCGAAACGAGGGAAGCGAGGAGGCGAGGGGCGACAACTTTTTTTTTTTCGTCTAACCTGTCGTATGGCAGTTAGCTTTCAACCACGGGCGCTAAGCCTCGCTGCGAAATACCACGTTATATAGGGTGCGCCTTTTCCAGCGCTATCTGAATCTTTATGGGGTAGCTTAAACTACGGGGGTAAATAGCGAAGGGCGACTTGGCTAGTCGTAATGGCGATGTCCGGGCCGTCGTGTCACTTTACCACCCCTTTCCGCTACCTTCCGCCGTCCGGAAAGGGTGGTACAATTCGCATGTAAATCGCGAGTACATTCCTGTTGACGTCGCGCGAGTCGAAAGAAGATAAGGGGCAACGACCGTGCTGTGCTGGGGACGTCTTCTGAATGTCAGCCGTCTCTGTTTCGCGAGATCTATTAATTTTCTCTAACACTGGCGAGCTTACGTGTTATTCCTTACGTAGTACTGATTCTGTTTCACATTCAAACGCGCGATTATTAATTACTACGCATTAGTAATACAAACAAATAGACGATAGCGTTAATAATATAATATATATAGCAACAGAATAATTAGATTTTATAAAAACGCATGAATATGTAAAACGACACGGCTAGTAATGGCGAGAATGCAAATACCGTTTTTTGCCGACTTGATTAACTCTTGTTCGCGACATGGGATTTATTCGTGTCGTGTTATCAACGCATTAGTATAATCGCGTCTCGACGGCGCGGTCTATCACTAAAACTACCCAGTGCTCTTATGCGTGCTCGGCGTCACTCCGTCAAACGCGTCGCGGCGCCGCTGGAAGGCGTAAAAAAAATTATTTACAGCCCCCGAGCGATATGAAGCCTCCGCGCTTGTATCAGTTACACGGCCTAGGGAAAAAGCGCACACCTGACATGACAAAGAACATGAGGGAAATGTTTCTGTTGTCGGTTAAGATAAAAAGGGAGACAAGAGAATGCTAACAGCAGGTTTCTTACAACCCCTTGGCACGAAACTATTGGTCGTAACTATCCAACGATCGCAATAACCGTTGTGCTGCGCGCTTTCCTCCGTCTTAATCTTTTTAGATCTGCTGCGTAACGAGCAATACAGGCAGATATAAAAAGAAGACTTACGAATAAGTATAAAATAATTGAGAAGCCTACGGCGTCACGCTCTCTTGCGTTCGAACAGCGGAAAAAAAATGTCATGGTAATATTAGATACGTCTAAAAGTTTAATTCAACTCGGTATCCTCGAGTATGCGAGACATCTCCGTAATCCATGTAATTGCAAATTTTCCTTAATATTGACAAAATAAGGTATGATTGAAATTTATCAATCGCGCTCCGCTATTCAATAAAGTCTACCTCGAGAGATCAAAGGAGCCGTTTTCAATGGAACGTCATGAACCGCCTTGGAAACATTATATACCTATCTCTAAAAATCTGAGACGACATAAAGATGAAGTCCCAAGGGGATCTCGTTCTTTTAGAGAAATATCCCATCCCGATGAGGATCCGCTTTTGATGATTCGCTGTACTTAACGTCGCGCGATTTGTACGTCGCAATTCTAAAAAGTTTCGTTTCACGGCTGATTAATCTCAGACCGTATGGAAAAGAAAAGAAATGAAAAGAAATGATTGTTTGGCATTCGCGTGCGACACAGGAGGACGAAGCAAAAGAAAAAAATGAGACACTACGTGCACTCGTTAATCATTAAACGAACGGTGAGTCACGAGAAATATACGGAGTGACCGGAGGGAAAATGACAAACTAAAACTCAACGACTGGCCCGCGTTTTAGAGCAATTACTGGCCGGTGACCGAAGGCAGATCAAAAGGGGATTGATCACACGGAATATGTTATAGACGTTTGCGGACCGTACGACTCCGCGTGCGCGCGCGATATTCTCTATGAATATCGCAGCGCGGTAACCATGCCCACGGCGCTACGAGCTCGCCCGATCTTTTCAACAACCAGCCGAGGACATACGTCCGTAAACAGAGCTTTAATTTTCCTGTGCAAATACGAGCTGTAGCTCGACAACATCGGCGCGTCCCTGACTTTGTCCATCAGCGTGCATCTTTGATATCCTCTTTCTCTTAATATCTCGCTGAACTCGCTTTTAACCGGTGTTTTTTTTTAACAAGAAAACACAAATTTCCAACTGTGTATTAAGAAAGTGCAAATTTATAAGAGCACGACAAAATCAGAAACTATTGCAATGCAAAGTGCAAATAACAAACTGCGCGGGTATTCGCGGGTATGCCGAAGAGTGAGCGCACGGAGGA